ACATTATCTATGTTTAATATATCATGATATCATATGTTGTTTGTTAATATATCATGATATAGGGGTGGCAGCCGGTCGGTTTCGGTTTAACCGAAAACCGAAATCTCGGTTTTCGGTTAAACTGAGACATGACCAACCCCTACCGTCAACCGACCGTCCCATCAGGCCCGGTTAGCCGCAAACCGACCGGTCGGTTTTCGGTTTAGGTGCGGTTTAACCGGGGCAACCGAAAATGTGAAGGCCAGTTCGGTTTAGGTGCTTAACCGACCGGTAACCGGTCAAATCCGACCGGACAAGAAGGGAGGAAAACCTAAAATCGACAGCCATGTTCCTCTTCCACCAGATCTTCTTCTCCTTCTCCTTCTTATTGCTCTTCGTGATCGATTACCATCGCCGCCGAGGTGTCGCCGGAGTTGGTTGTGGTGGTGGGGCTGTAGTTGTTGAAACCCACCTCCTCTGCATGCGGAGGCGGTGGCTCCGGCTAGAAGGTCGTGGAAATCGTGCCAGTTCGGAAATTGGCCCCCAATTTCATTCCTGGGAGAAGCTCCGCCACAGTTCCCGCTCTACAGACCCATCTGGGTTCAGCTCCCGCAGCACAAAATTGCCGGAATCGAGCAAAACAACGCTGGTCTTAACTCCTTCCTCGACGGCGGTGCGGGTGCGGGTGAGGCTAGTTACGGCAAAGATTAGGTCGCCTTTGCCATCTACCATCTTCAAGTTTCCATCGCTTGCAAGGACAATAACCCCTGTTTTGTAGAGAATTGGGGAATCAGGGTTGCTGACCCAGATGGGAGAAATCCGCAATTCGGGGTTTCGACAGTCGCAGAGGCGAGGCGGCCGGGGGGGGGGGGCTCGAGGCGAGGCGGCGGGGGCTCGACAGTCGCAGGGTTGAGGGGCGGGGGGCACTCGAGGCATGGCAGCAGGGGCTCGGCAGTCGCAGACGCAGACGCAATGTGAGGGTTGAGGGAGAACGAAGGCGGCAGCTAGGGTTTGGGGGGAATGGGTGTGTTTAAGTAGGCAAAAACGACGGCGTTTCATCTCGGTCGGTTAGCGTCGGTTAGCCGGTTAACCGGCTTCGGTTTATCGGCTAACTGCGCGGCCACTAACCCATTCCGACAACTGACCGCTCCTCTATTTTTTCGGTTTCAGGTTAGCCGCTAACCGGCGGTTAACGGTTAGACCGGCCGATTAGCCGCTAACCGGAAACCGAACTGACAGCCCTATCATGATATCACGTAGTTGTTACAACTTACAATTTCACTTTCACGTTAAGAACGTTAAGCAACTCCCACCAAAATGTTGTTAAAGTATATCATAACTAATAGTATCAAAATCATTAAAAATTGACCTAAAACATTTATAATTTTCAGTTTCAATGAAATTTTTGGAATGAGAACGTCACATTTATGTTAAAAACGTTAAGCAACTCTCACCAAAACGTTAACAACGTGAAAGTATATCATTACTAATAGTTTCAAAACGTTTAACAATTAACCTAAAATATTTGCACTTTTGTCATGTACTGTTAATAGTGAACACTGTCGACGTTTGATGTATCATGATATAAGTTGTTGTTTGTTTGTCGAAGTGAGTGAGACGTCTTTAAGAGTCCATTTCTAATAGTATCAATAATGATAATGTTGTGACTTGTGAATCATTAGTAAAGATGTTGTAATCAATGATTCATTCATAAACGTTGATGATGAAAATGTACAACGGTAACGATTGATTCAAAATTGTTAATAATATAATTGTAAGGAATTGATACTTATATTGAAATCGTTAATAATGATAAGGTATAATTATAATGATTTATTTCATAAAAATTGATAATGTCATTGCAAAACGTTAATACTACATTGCAAGTTGTCACGAAATGAGAGAGAAGATTTTAAATTTTAAATTTATATTTTAAAAAGAGAGATGGTTATGGAGAAAGGGGAGAAAGATGGTTATTAAATATTAAAATCAAATTAAATCAAATTCGAATTTCCTTTTAAATGTAGTGGAGAGAGATGGTTATGGAGAAAATTATGGGAGGAGAGAGAAAGAGAATAATCAATCATTAATATTAATTATATTTGCATAATAACCTTATTTATCCTCAACTACCTATTAACTACTAATTCCCTTATTAACTAGCTAATCCCCTGTCAACCAATAAAATGACTTATACAAAATGCTTAAACCTATAGGCTTGAGCAGTAAGCACCAGATCATCCTACCTGAGTTTTCCCGCCAAAATCAGAGCCGGTTTTCAAAATCAGTCGCAAGGAGGCTTCTCCTGCACTACTCCCTATTCCATTTTTCTCCATCTCAATTTGACAGAGAACGAAGAGGTGCCGACGAAGGAGACGGCTCCCAGGTCACGATTCACTGATTTATTCGGCTACGGTTGGAGCACCAAGAACAGCAGCACCCGCCACAGAAAACTCCGATCTCCATGGTAATAACGCAATCTCTCCAGCTTCATTCTCTAATCCGCCGTCTTCCATTGCAGATCAATTTCTACCATTGGAAAACCTCCAAAGCTTATGAATCATAATTAATCCGAACCAGTTCCCTTGTACTTCTACAATCTGATTCTGGATGATCTTTCTTTTCAATATGTATTTGATTGTTGGCTCTTTTTCTCGATATGAACTGAAGCTGCTCGATCAAATGCCCCACCCGCAGTTTGATTTTTACTTGAAATGGACGGGCGTGGTTAGACTGGCTCCTCTGCTACATCCAGGCTTAAACTTCCGTTGCGTCCTCTACCTGTTTGGTAATTTGACAATTACGGTCGTAAGGACTAATTCCCCCCTGATTCAACTGTGTTGGATGCAGTCTAAGAAACGGGGGCTTTCTTTGGAAGAGAAGCGTGAGAAGATGCTTCAGATTTTCTATGAATCGCAGGACTTCTTTCTTGTGAGTACATTTTTTGTGAAGCTCTCACTATGTTGAATGCGTTTTCACTACCTTCACCTAGATGGATTTAGGTCAAATGATTAGGGGGTGGAATTCGTCAGGTAGAATGAAATGCTCGGTACTGTATGATGGCTTTGTTTGGCTGCTTCGACTTCTTCCGTTCAAGTCAACCTGATGACTTGAAATAGGAGAAGTTGTCTGTGGAATTGTAGATTCTCCACTACATCCATTGATTCTGGTTTTTGTTCATGGCCATACTATGCCAGAGTAATTTTCGAAATAGATTATTAGTACCATTTCAGTTCCGCCTGAGCTCTGATAAAGATCTTGCTAACTCCAGCTTTTTCATCAAGAGCTTGATATATAGCCAGAATAGGTGAACTTTTGACTTCTGAGCCGGTTCTTATTCATTGCTTGGTTGGAACTTCCCTAACTAGTCCTCATGTTGATAATATCGTTTCCTCAACTCTTTCCTTTATGTACGGTAGTTCCAATGGATTTGGCCATCTGCCATTTCTCAAGCTACTCTGAAGTTTGTGTACACTGCTAACTTATATCTTTTTGCTTTTCACTTTCAGCTCAAGGAACTGGAGAAGTTGGGGCCTAAGAAAGGTGTGATTACTCAGTCTGTGAAAGATGTTGTCCAGAGTCTTGTGGACGATGACCTGGTTTTAAAAGACAAAATAGGAACATCGGTATGCAACTGATCTGCCCTGGTTTATAGGTTCTTCATAAATGTCCAGTTTCATAAGGCTAACAGTTCCATCACCTCTCAGGTTTACTTTTGGAGCCTTCCTAGCAGTACTGGAAATCAGGTAAAGCAATGTTTTTTTGGTTCCTCCACCTAACTGAAATTCATAATCTTTTGACTTCTATTTTCCCTAAACTCGCATCTTGGAGTAAACCAGCTGAAGAATATAAAGGACAAACTTGGGTCTGATCTGCCAAGCAGTAAGAAGCGGTACGCGGAGCTTATTGAACAGTCTGCGGGACTAAAGAAGGGTCGTGAAGAATCAGTAAGCATATTCAAGTCCCATTTTGCATTCAATTATTAAATTCTGAAACATGGTCAATGTCTGACTTTTATGTTCTGTACCAGGATGAACGAGAGGTGGCCTTATCAGACCTGAAAGATATTCAGGCAAAGCATAATGAGCTGAAGGTACATCCAATTATCCAAACCCACATCAAGCTATAAAGACCAGTGGCCAGTGTCGAACCCCTCTAACTAAGTCTGATTTGCATCAGGAGGAGATGGCAAAATATGCAGATAACGATCCAGCTGCATTCGAAGCACTGAGTTCAGCACCTGCTCTAGTTTGAATATTTAAATTATCTACTGCGATCTCGCTAGCTCAGAAGTAACGTCTGTTGTCTATGAATTATACAGAGGAAGCTATTGACGTCGCTCATGCAGCCACAAACAGATGGACTGGTACTTTCACCTCATAGTAAAAGATACCTGAATCTTGTTCAATGTAATCATGATTCTAAATTCTGTTTGATGCTTGAAAATGGCTGACAATATCTTCACTTTGAGGCAGTGGTATTCAAAGAACTTCCCCCAAGCGGCAGAGCAGCTTGATAACCTGTTCAAGGAGGTACGAGATTTAAAGCAAAGAACATGGTAGAGCGAATCAGTGGAATTTGAAGCCATGGTCAAGCTCAAACACATAGTGCTACCTTGCTTCGGAAGCAGGGTTGTTTTCGGCTTTATTCAACTGATATGGACCATCTTTCCATTCTCAACTGCAGGTGGGAGTAACGGATGAATTTGACTACTTGGAGCTTGCACCTGCTCTCCCTCTCAATGCGATAGGCGCCCCCGAGGCTGAAGAAGGCACTCCCTAGACTAGGGATGGCAATGGGTCGGGTCGGGGACGGATAGTGCATATCCGTTACCCTACCTAAAATAGTTCTGGTTTTACCCATACCCATACCCACATATGAAACGGGTAGAAAATTAAAACCATGCCTATACCCGTTCGGGTTTCGGGTATCCACGGTTATCTATGGGTAATGACCTAATGGACCGAATGGACAGTTGGCGGGTATCCACGGTTACGGATATCCCGATAACATCATAATACAACCAATAGTTCAAAGCAGAATAAGGGTATTAGCCAAATGGAACCCAATCGGTAATGTCACGACCTTACTCTTGTTTGTGCGGCCCTAACTCTTAGTTCCGTTATTGAGGCTAGGCAGCCTTCTCACAAGCTCTCAAATTCACTCGATTCACAAGAAGAAGACACAAGAAAATGGGAGAAACTCTATAATTATATTGCTCACAAAAATGATGGATGATTACAAATGAGGAGGAGGTGCTCCTTTTATAGGCCCTCCTCTCTTACAAGGTGTAAATACCTCTCATAATGCTCTCCCCCATTAACACTATTAAACGCAATAAACAAAAGAACGAACGACACCCAATTTACGTGGTATCCTCAACGAGTATCGTTGAGACTAATCCACGGAGAGGAGCAACCTCTCAGAGTCTATAGTATAGAGATGCGGCTGAAGAAGCGTTAGGTTACATCAGAGGAGACTATTCTACATATATACTCAGCCTCCTAACCCTACCAGGATTACACACGTAATTAAACATTAACCCCGGTTAATTACAGTTTGCTACTTTAACTTTTAACACCCTCCCTCAAATTGATGGTGCTGACGCAACATCAATTTGTGAGCTAGAAACCAGTGACGAGAAGTAGCAACCGCCTTCGTTAACAAATCTGCTGTTTGATCCTCCGAGGTAATATAGGACAGGGCAAGCTGGCCTTCAGTAACCAGCTGACGAATATAGTGAACATGAACTTCTATATGCTTCGTACGATCATGCAACACCGGATTGGTGGCAATCCGAATGGCGCTAGTATTATCTGCATAAAGACGCATAGGAGAAGAACACATAACTCCAAAATCAGCGAGCAACCGACAAATCCAAACCAGTTCCGAAGTCACTTCAGACATGGATCTGTACTCTGCTTCAGTCGATGATTTTGCTACCCGATCCTGCTTCTTACAACGCCAAGAAATGAAAGAGGATCCAATCTTCACACACCAACCGGACGTCGAACGACGTGTATCCAAACAGCTTGCATAATCAGCATCTGCATAGGCTTCAAGAACAGAATCACCCTCTGCCAGGAAAAATAGACCAACCTCTTGAGTGCCACGAAGGTAGCGTAGAATCCGCATTACCGCAACCAGATGAGAGGAACGTGGGGATGCCATAAAATGGCTAACCACCTGAACAGCATAAGAAATATCAGGACGTGTATGGGTCAAATAGATTAAACTGCCAACGATGCTGCGATAGAGAGACCCATCAGGTAAGAGATCCCCATCATTTTGTCGAAGTTTCAGATGTTGTTCCATTGGCGTAGCACACGGGGTACACGTATCCATATTCGCAGTCTCAAGAAGGTCAATAATATACTTTTGTTGCCCAACAAATAATCCCGCAGAAGAACGATGAACCTCCAACCCCAAAAAATACGACAGATCACCAAGTTCCTTCAGATGAAACGCATCCCGAAGCGTCTGAGTAAGAAACTGAATACCTTGAGTATCATCCCCACTAATAACCATGTCATCAACATATATAAGCAGCACAGTCAGCCCTTGAGATGTACGACGAAGAAACAAAGATGGGTCATTCTCACTCTGCATAAAACCAGCCTGAAGGATAGTACCTTGGAATTTTTCAAACCAAGCACGAGGAGCTTGCTTCAACCCATAGAGCGACCTACGAAGTAAGCAAACTTTCGATTTATCCCCCTTTGCATAACCAGGAGGACACTCCATATAAATGGTCTCCTTTAAATCACCATGCAGAAATGCATTTTTCACATCCAGTTGTTTCAAACACCATCCCTTCATTGCAGCCACAACAAGCAGTGTCCGAACCGTTTGCATCTTAGCTACAGGTGCAAACGCTTCTTCATAATCAATGCCAAACTCTTGCATAAAACCCTGAGCCACAACCCGAGCTCGATATCGCTCAATAGAGCCATCCGGGTGAGTTTTAATGGTATACACCCATTTCGAACCAATGACCGACATGTTTGGATGCCGCTCAACAATATCCCACGTGTGAGACTCCTCTAGAGCTTGAGTCTCAACATCCATAGCATCATCCCAATTTTTATCTCCATGCGCCTGCTTGTACGTAGCTGGGACCAAGATAGGTTCTGTAGAGAAAGCAACAAAATTAGACAAGTGAGCAGGACGCACACCTTTGGTGGCCCGGAGAGATCGGCGGGGAGCAGGGGGGGAGGCGGGGACTGCTGGGGGAGATTCCTGTGATGACGGGGAAGATAAGGAGTCCGAGCTGGTCGCAGTTGCCGAATTCAAGGAAGGGGAGACAACAGGCGACAAGGGAGATGAAGCCGGGCTGTGAGAGGAATCCAAAGAGCTTGTGGAAGGAGTAGTAGGCAGCACGTCCATGGAAATGGACCCTTCTAGGGAGAAATCATTATCATCACCATCCGGAGGAGGCGGGTCAGGAGGAGCAGCAAAGAGAAGCTGAGGTTGAAAAAAATTCAATCATTCTTGGACGCAGAGGTCTTTTCGGCGTAGTAGGACAAATGTTCCAAGAATGCCACATGACAAGAAATCCGAATACGCCGATTAATCACGTCATAACAAACATATCCCTTGTGTTTGTCGCTATAGCCAATAAACACACATTTTCTTGCCTTGGGAGCGAGCTTGTGTCTCTCTCTCTTAGGAAGAAGCACATAGCAAATACACCCAAACACCCGAAGCCAAGCATAGTCCGGTTTTCTCTGATACAGCACCTCAAACGGACTGCGTTGAGCAAGAACAGGGGTTATCTGTCGATTAATCAGATACACAACTGTGTGAACTGCCTCTGCCCAGAAGGCCGTAGGTATACTGGACTGAAAAAGAAGTGCCCGAGTTAGCCACCATTTTGCTGAGATACTCCAGGACACGACTGCTGAGGAAGAATCCCTTGAGCCTTAAAAAACGCCTATAACGGACCCGACGAGAACTCGCCACCAGGGTCAGACCGAATCACCTTCACAGTCTTACCAAACTGTGTTTGAATCATCTGAATGAATTCTTTAGCAACTGTGATAAGCTCCGATTTCTGACGGAGAAAGTAGACCCAAGCAAAACGAGTAGTATGATCGATAAACAAGGCAAAATATCTGAACCCAACACGAGAAGTAACAGTCGCAGGACCCCACAGATCAGTGTGAACTAACTCAAACGGTTCAGAATAAACTGTAGTACTTGAACTGAACGAATGCTGAGAGAGTTTAGCTTCCAAACAATGAGTACATGGACTGGAAGACTCTGAAACAAAAGAACCCGACAAAAGTTTATTCTTAAACATCTCTAGCAATCGAGCAGAATGGGGATGTCCCAATCGTCGATGCCATAAATCCCAATTGGACGAATTAACTGAAAAACCAACATTCAAAGATGATGATGATGACGGATCCGAATGCAAATCATCCCCCACCAAGCCAGTTCTATGCGTCCTCGAGGTCAGTAGCCCATCCGAATCGGCCAACTGCTCTAGCTGATATACTCGACCCACATTACTCCCGTGGCCCAGTTCCTTCCCCGTTTTCTTGTCCTGCACAACACACCCGCTTGCATCAAATGTGATACGACACCCATTCTCCGCTAATTGTCCAACGGAGACAAGGTTAGGAACCAGTTGAGGCACATAGAGAGTGTTCGAAAGACAAATGCCCGACTGATCAACCTCCCCAATACCCCGAGCAGGAATACAAGATCCATCCGCAACCTGTAACTTAGTAGAACTAGCAGAGCGCAAATGACGAAAAGATGATCGAGAGCTAGTCATATGGTTAAAGGCGGCGGAATCAAGTAGCCAAGTAGAGTGAGAACGAGAAGGCATAGAAGGCATACCCGCAGTGAATACCGAACCTATCGCGGATGGAAGAGCTTCACGAACCACCTCTTGAAGCATTTGACGAATGCTTTCGGAAGAGAAACCAGCTGGCGCAATAGGAGCAGCTGCATATGCTTGACCAGCGTGCGCCCCACGAGCAGAACGTGGCCCCAAGAATCGGGCATGCAGCAATTTTGTGCCCAACTTCCTTGCAATAATTACACGCGTTCCGCTTGGGGCAATGCAGCTGAACGTGGCCCGGCTCCTTACAGTGATAACAAATTACTTGTCCGCTTGTTGTTCGAAGAAATCATGGTTTGTCCGAACCCACAGCCAAAGCCAGTTGATCACCCGCCGAAGAGGAATCCATGGGACGACCATGCACAGAGAAGGCAGCAGCTGATGACTCCGCCCCATGAAGATCAATTTTAGCCTGACTCCTCAGTCGAGTCTCCTCCCTAATCAGCTCCCCCAATATATCCTCAAGTTTGGTGATATTTCGGTGGAGAAGGGAGGACCGAACACCCTCAAATTCGGGCCTCATTTTCATCATAAATTGCATGACCCGAGTGCTAGTTCGCTCTTGCATAATTTCAACCGAGGCAGCTGCGGAAACAAGTGAGGTTGTCAACAAGTCAAGTTCTGTCCACAGGGTGACAGCCTCTTGATAATACGAGCAGACGTCGCGATCACCCTGAGTCAACCGAGCAAGATCAAGTTCCAGCTCAAATTTACGAGAGGCACTTGACTGGGAGTGCAAGCCGCTGAGATGCCTCCACATATCATGGGCAGTGGTGAAGCTGCGGAGACTCAAAGCAATAGAGGGCTCAACGGACGATAAGATTAAACCCATGACCTGGGCATTATTAATGGCCCAATCATCTCGCTCCTTGATCGGCGCCGTAGCAGCAGGTGCGGGCAGGGACCCATCGAGAATAGGAAGGAGGCGGCGGCCCTGAACAAACAATCTGAACTGAAGCTCCCAAAGGGCATAATTGCGCCCATTGAAGCGAACTGATATAGAGTCTAGCTTGGAGGCTTCCATGATATCAAGAACAGCCAAAGAAAAGAAGGTCTCGTAACCTGGAGAGGCAAGAAGCAATGGCACGGCAAACCTAAAAGTAAAGGACACACAAAAAAAAACCCAAGAAAGCCTGCCAAATCAAGAATACAGGCGCCGAAATCCACAGCAGCAGAACGAATCCCAAAACTCTGAAAGCTCCACGATCAAGCCCGAGGCTCTGATACCATATTAAACGCAATAACAAAAGAACGAACGACACCCAATCTACGTGGTATCCTCAACGAGTATCGTTGAGACTAATCCACGGAGAGGAGCAACCTCTCAGAGTCTATAGTATAGAGATGCGGCTGAAGAAGCGTTAGGTTACATCAGAGGAGACTATTCTTCATATATACTCAGCCTCCTAACCCTACCAGGATTACACACGTAATTAAACATTAATCCCGGTTAATTACAGTTGGCTACTTTAACTTCTAACAAACACACCCTATTAAGTTTCCCCCATAATGCAAACTATTATACCACCTCATAATGTGGCTCTTAATGTGCACCATTAAGCTCATCTTCAAGATGGGGAATCCTAGGAGCATCTTATGCTACTAGGTCTTCCTTAATGCCACACGTGCTTGACTTGGTCATGATCCGCCACATCATTCGCCATGTCGCCCGCCATGCGTGACAGTAATCCATGGCCAACCAAGGCCAAATAGTCTGCCACAAAGTTGCTCTTGTGGAACACGTGAGTGATAACAACTTCCAACTCCAATGCCAACAATCGGTCAATGGTATTGATCAAAGCTGAGACGGATCTAGTGGGCCGCCCCTGGGCCACGATCCAACTCTCATCTAGATTTAGAGTTAGTATAGTACTTGTAAATTTTTGATTTTTTATATTCGTTCAAGTGTTCGTCGCATTACGGCTCAGCCTTCTTTGCATTTTTTTCAAATGTGGCTCAGTGCTCTACCCTGTTTTAGACCTGCCGCTGGATCAAAGTTTGATGTGGGTGTCGGACACTATCCAGTTGCAGTAAAGAGATGGCAGTAGTCGAGTCCGTCTGCAGTATGACTTTCTAGAACCCCATCTCCCAAGCAACGTGTAACCCATGCGAAATGCCAGCAAGCTCGACATGAGTGATCGATCCGCCTCCAAGATTGGCCGAGAAGGCCTTCAACATTCGTCCATCACAAGGAGCATCTATAACCGTCTCTTGTACATTTGGAGAGAAATTTTTCTTCAATTTAATTTAACGGGCTATATATTTTTGGTTTTAAGTCGTACTCTATTTTTTTCAAAAAATAGTTTAATTATACTCTTCAAGATGACATATATTTTGATATTTTTGGAACAAAAAATTGAGACATATATTATCGGTCTATACCATAATGATGTTATTTAATTTATATGTCACTGGTTTTATGATCGGATTTTGTACCGGTTAAGTACCGATTATCCAATAAACCTTAAATCTCTCGATAATTCGGATCGTTGTCCGGTCCGGCTTTGACAACACTGCTTACAAATATTCTAAATAAATCAAATGTGTTTCACTTAAATATACTATTATTCAAGGAAAAAAATATACTATTGTAAATAACAATTCCCCAACCAAACACCAGTTACCAGTAAGTGCAGATAGTTTGGGCTCCAAAAACCTCCCCCATATTGACTGCACTTTATGGAGACGGTTAAAGCAAACAAATTCAAGCTAACGCGTAATTTGATCACAGGATTGGTGCAACAGGTGCCTACTCTTCATGATTTCATAACCTGTAAAAGAGAAAATCCTATTTCCATAACAGCTCACTTCATGTGCACCACTATCTGCAGTTTCTTTGTGCTTTAGAGCGCCATTTCAGCCTGTAAAGCAGCAAGTTTGTCTTCTTCCTCGGTATTCTTCCTTTACTGAACAGGACGAGCACGCTGTTTGCCTGCAGTTGCATGAACTGGAGCTGCAGGAGCTGTGGTTGCAGGTTGTAGAAACTGCTCTTCCAACTCAGCGCCTTCGAATTCTTTAAGTTCCACCCCCAATTCACCCTGCAGAGCAACCAGTGTTTTAGTCTTTCATTACACAAACAGTAACGGTAAGCAAGAACCGATAAATATTCATCCATGTTAACTTCATTGAAATCAGCGGTAGAACCAATTGGAGTTGGCAATGCTGCTTGAATCTGTTTCATGTTCTCGGATTGTTCATTTACTTCATCCATGGTCTAGTCTAAGTCGTCAATATTCCTGTAATCAAGACAACCATTACACAGATATTCTTGAACTTATTAAACAATATCTCTCCACATAGACATAAAGTTCAGATAAAAAAAATTCTGCATACGATTGTATTTTGCATTGCCTTCGTTGCAGCTGCTCCCGTTCTCAATGCATCTACAATTTCAGTAGTGGCTTTTGCGCCCTCTAAAAATTATCATTATCATCTGTAACATAAGATTAACACACCAATAACTAGAGCTTGCTCATACATCAAATGTGGCATACACTGGAAAAATAGGTCACCTGATCATGAATCCTCAATTGGTAATTTCCTAGCTGTTCTACTGGCTGTTCATACAACCTCTTCCGTTTCAAGGACTGTACGGAAGCTACAGAAAACAGTACTCATCAGCAAGAGCGCATACCCCTCGAGTCTACACATAGTTTAAGTGTCAATCCAACAAACAATACACGTCGATATAGTGAGAACATCCGTGAAAAATAAAAGACTCTTCCTTTCCTGTGCAGACACACAGGTTGAACACCCTACAAAAACTCACAATAGGCAAATGGATGCTGCTGGTCTATCGTATAACATACATAGTTGACAAGCCAAATGCAATTGCATCATCAAACCATCTATACTATATTGAAGCATTACAAATGCATGATGCTCTCCTACCCCTTTTTGTTTCCTCGTGTACACTCTCTGGACTTCTCCAACTTCATGAGAAGCTTTTTTGACAAGGACTTTCTCCTTTTTCTCGAGCATTTCAAGCGTCGACACAATTGAGATTTAACAGAGAGACTGGATACTCAGAAATCCCAGAACAAGCATCAACAAATGCAACAGCAGCCGTACTTACACAATCGAAGAGTAAAAATTGTAAAACACAAATAATACACAAGTTTTCAGACTGACGCAAACAGAAGACAATTAGACTCTGGCAGACATCATTTCATAGTGCTCTCATCAAATCGCAGAGCTACACAATATAGTCTTAGCCAACAACAACGAGAAGCCTACAGCTGCCAATACAATTGAACAATTCCCAAGTCCTAACACATCCTATATCTCATCCATATATATTAATTAATTAGGTTCGTAGCCTTAAGCTTCATCTCCCACAATTGAGCAATAACCCAGAACATAGTAGCACGACAGCATTCAGAGCTAAAAAAGGAGCAATAACCCAGATTAATACCTTTCTTATCCTGCCTCAATCAAGAGGATTATTCCTCTGAATGGTAAAATTTCACAGATAACCCCAATCAACTTACCTCCCCTTTTTCGAAACCTGAAACACATCACCATCCCTAATAAAACCTGACAAGAACGCCATAGAAAGAAAATAATTGCGCGAGGTGAGAAAAGGAAACAAGAGAAAGACGGACAATAACCTTTAGGAAACAGAAGGAAAACAAACCCGTGGGAAGGAAGAAGTTGAGTGGGAGAAGAAGACTGGCGTAATGGTGCTCTACCCGCATTATAAATGCCATCCCTGAACTACCTTCCCCTCCTCACAACACATCTCTTCTATCTCCTCTCTTCTCTCCCTTCCGTTTCCCTCCCAGAAAAAAAAAAACATAATCCAACAAAAACCCACCATTCAGGGATTCGGAATTCGTGATTCTCTTTGCAAAACCGCAGCAGCAGGAGCAGCTACTTTTCTGAGTTCCAAGTAAGAAACTTTTCTTCTGTTTGGCTTATGGGTTTTCTTTCTCTTCATACAGAGGATCGCTGTGGATTGTTAATTTAGGCATTGGGTCCCTTTTTAATTTGGTGGGTCCTTAAATTTATGTTCTCTTGGTTATCAACCAAACTTTACTCGGTCTCAATTTCTCTTCTTCTTTTTGTATTGGATTTTGGTTTCACCATTATCTAATGTTCTGCTACATCATTCAACGAGAAAACACAATGAAGATGTGCTGCATTGTTGGGTAATATATATATGTAGCATATACTAATGGTACACAATAGATAAATCAATTATGGTTTGCATCAAACAGATGGCTGGTTCGTTTACTCCGACGGCTGGTTCCTACAAGCCCAAGAACATCCTCATAACCGGAGCAGCCGGCTTCATTGCATCCCACGTCTGCAACCGCCTCATCCGCACCTACCCGGACTACAAGATCGTCGTCCTCGACAAGCTCGACTACTGCTCCAACATAAACAACCTCAACCCCTCGCGCCACTCCTCGTCCCCAGGCAACTTCAAGTTCATCAAGGGAGACATCGGCAGCGCGGACCTCGTCAACTTCATCCTCCTCACCGAGTCCATCGACACCATCATGCACTTCGCGGCCCAGACCCACGTCGACAACTCCTTCGGCAACAGCTTCGAGTTCACCAAGAACAACATCTACGGCACCCACGTCCTCCTGGAGGCCTGCAAGCTGATGAAGGATCAAGTCAAGAGATTCATCCACGTCAGCACCGACGAGGTCTACGGGGAGACTGACGAGGACGCCGTCGTGGGGAACCACGAGGCCTCCCAGCTGCTCCCCACAAACCCTTACTCTGCCACCAAGGCCGGGGCAGAGATGCTGGTCATGGCGTACGGCAGGTCGTATGGCCTGCCGGTTATCACTACAAGAGGTAACAATGTCTATGGTCCCAATCAGTTCCCCGAGAAGCTGATCCCAAAATTCATCCTCCTGGCTATGATGGGGAAGCCCCTCCCCATCCACGGGGACGGATCCAACGTCAGGAGCTACCTGTACTGCGAGGATGTCGCCGAGGCTTTTGAGGTTGTGCTCCACATGGGTGAAGTTGGGCATGTGTACAACATTGGGACGAAGAAGGAGAGGAGGGTGATCGATGTGGCTAGTGACATTTGCAAGCTGTTTGGGCTGAATCCTGAGGAACAGATCAAATTTGTGGAGAACAGGCCGTTTAACGACCAGCGGTACTACTTGGATGATCAGAAACTCAAGAACTTGGGGTGGTGCGAGAGGACGAATTGGGAGGAAGGGCTCAGGAAGACGATGGAGTGGTATAGGGCGAACCCCGATTTCTGGGGCGATGTGTCTGGGGCCCTGCTCCCGCACCCAAGGATGCTCATGTTCCCCGGAATGGAGAAGAGTTATGATCCACGAACCATGAGCACGGATGACGGTACTTCTGCTACTGATCAGCAAACTGAAATTGTGGTTCCAGCTCCTCCTCCTGCTTCCGCGAACAACGGGTCGTTGCTCAAGCTGAAGAAGGAGACTCTGCTCGAGTTTGCCTTCGAGCCCAAGAAAAAGGCTTATTGATTTGGTGGATGATTTGGGGTGGCGGTGGTGGTGGTGGATTGGATCTCTTCTTTGTGTTCTCTTCTCTCATATGGGTTTTCAAGTTTGATTTCTTCTTGTTGTTTCAATTTTTCTTCTTGTTCTTTCTTTCTGTGTCATCCAACATTCATTTCATCGAGAGGCTTCTTCATACAGAACAGAGGTTAGGTGGGTGGCAGCCAGGGTGGGTATACTTTCATCAGGTTTTGCAGCAAAAATGGAGAGTGTATTTCCCTCGCCACCACCTTCCAAGACAATACGTGATATTTGTATCTCAAATTATATACAACACCTTTGATGAATAAAGTTCGTTATTTTCCATGCGTTGCAGAAAAACAAAGGGTCGAGAATTTACCAGTGTTCACTGTTCATGATTTATCCTGTTTACTGATTTTCAAACAAAAAAAAAACATTACTTTAGCCTTGCAAAAACTTTAGGGTCTAGATTAATGTATTTCGTTGAAGATCTTGTTTATTTGTTTAGAGAATAACTATTCTATGGTCCGAGGCACCAATATCATGCTATGTCACTTGTTTCTGATCCTAGGAAAGGAAAGTAGGGATGACAAAAATAATCATATTCGTGAATACCTATGAGCATCCAATTTAATTGGGTAGCGTCAAATTTGAATCCGAAGAATTCTTTACGGGAATGGGTAAAATCCAAATCCGGATATTGCAGGTGAAGGGTAGGGGCATGGTTTGCTTACTATCCAAACCAAACTCGGTTGATTATATGCATGCATATTGTATTTTGTTTAAAAGTATCGTTATTTTTCTCAACATATTTTATATGTATTATACATATACAATATTTACATGAAATTGTATTGTTTCTAACTAATTTTCTTTGTTCTAGAAATTTATTTTCTGCATTCAAGGCAAACTCAACATATTCTTTGTAAATTTTCACTTAGGGTTTTCCTACTATGTGACCCGAATCTGTCAGAGAATAGATGCATATGTACCTGTTATATAAATCATGATTGTCAACATATTATTATGCATTCAGAGTGTATATATATATATTAATGAATTTGTGTTCCTTTTATATTATTTCTCCTAACATTGATGACTTGTAATTATAACTTTTTTACTTTGATAATGTGAATATGCTCACAAATAGTAACACATTAGATGAAATAACAAATCGAAAACTATTATTTGTATAGATATGGATATTAAAAAATATTTTTAATTTACTACTCGAACTTTGTATAGATATAGATATTAAAAGAACATCGAACTAGCTAATTATATTAGAGTAACGGATATCCACTGTACATCCTCAAACCCGACCGCTGCCATTCCTAATAATAAACAAGTGCACCCGAAAGCTGTGGATAAGCACAAGCTGTATCTCCACTTGAAATATGGACGTGAACAATCAGTAAGCATATCAGGAGATGTCAAAATATGCAGATAACGATGCAGTTGCATTGGAAGCGATGAGTTTGGCACCTGCCCCAGTCTGAATGTTTTAGATTATCTACTGCAAACTGCAAGTGGGAAAAAAAAAAAAAAACTCCCACTAACTCAGATGTCGGCATATGCAGAATATCTACTGGGATCAGCATTGTCAGGACAACCCAGATCAATGACAGCAGGGTCACTATGAAGGCTCAACAAAGAAAGCAGAAGAGGAATCTTGCTTGGACTCCCCCACAGGATGGCTGGATGATGGTCAATACGGATGGATCAGTGAAATCAGAAGAGGAGAGCTTAGCTGAAAGCAGGACTTGCAATGACGTGACAGAAGGGCTTCAGGAAGGTTTGCCTCTGCATGGACTCAACCACAACAATCAATATCATCAGGAATTGTCATGGTGTGGATCATCAACATGGGTTAATCACTATGGAAATTAAACGTCTATTGCCACATGATTGGACTATGAACATTATGCATATTTATAGAGAATGTAATAGTGCAGCTGACTTCCTGGCCAATATGGGTCATAGTCTTTCTTTTGATGCACATCCGATCGGTGTGCACTATCCGGGACTCCCGCACTGGATCTTGTTTGATGTAATGAGAATTTCTCAAGAACATCGTATTCCTAATATGAGCCAAGACACCTCATGCGTCTGTCTTTTACCAAAAAGAAAACATCTGTTGGTTTTGAATTTTGCAGAGGAAGCTATTGATGTCGCCAATGCAGCTGCAAATAATGAACAAGTACTTTCACCTCATAGTCAAAGATACCTTAATCTTGGTTGCTATAATCATGCTTCAAAGATGGCAGACAAAATATTCACATTGAGGTAATGGTGTTCAAAGAAACTTCCCCCAAGCAGCAAAGTAGCTTGAGAACTTGTTCAAGTACGAGATTTAAAGCAAACAACATTGTAGTCGAAATCGGTGGAATTTGAGGCCAGTTGGTCAGGCTTACAGTGCTACCTTGCTTCTGATGCAGGGTTTTTTTTTTTTTTTTTGGCTTTATTGAATTGATATCGACCATCTTTCCATGCTAAACCTCAGGTAGATACACCCAAGACTACAAATAAAGCCATAAAGCAGAAATTGCTATATATTCATCATTCACTTCAAGTACTGACCTAAATGACAATGCAAGGCTACCCAGTTGGTATTAATGTTATCAATGATACACATCCGATGATCACAGTACAGGAGGACTGAGTCTGAGGCGGAACATAAACCGAGAAGTGAAGAAAATATGGGGAAGCATGATCAAAAGCTCACAAAGAGATAAAGAGAGCATTGCGAATTTATCAAGAACTTTGTTGTCAAGTTTCCAAGATCATTATATACAAGGGTCCACCGTTCAATGCCACACACAAGATGCGTGAAATGGAGAGTTTGAAGGAGAAATCCATGATACAGAAATGACCCATCTTCCAAAGAGTTCTCTACCGTGTTCCACAGGCAGCTAGCTCCCTGCATACAATAAATAGAACCAACAGAGGTCAATCCCCGCAAATCACTACCAGCTGATTCGCTTAAACTTATAAGAGTGTGTTTGCATGCTATTTATTTTACATGTAGATATACGACATATATTTGCAAAAAAACGATTTGGTGAAGGAAATTTGCAAGGAAAATTGTGCCAGAAAAGAACACAAATTTGTGGCAAGTGACTTACAGAGCTAAATACATAATAAAAAAAAAGGTGTCTAAGAAAGACGATATATATTTGTCCAATCATTATGTTGTAAATAACACTTGTGCACATACACTCAACCAAATACCAGTATGTGCAATCCAACAGAGGGAGCGATGGGTAAGAACTAAGAACCTGCTTTAGAGCGCCATTTCTTCCTGTAAGGCAGCAAGTTCGTCTTCCTCCTTGGTGTTCTTCCTTTGAGGAAGAGGACGAACAGGTTGTTTTCCTGCAGGCACGTGGACTGGAGCTGCAGGAGCTGTGGTTGCAGGTTGTAGAAGTTGCTCTTCCAACTCAGCACCTTCCAACTCTTCAAGTTCTGCCTCCAATTCATCCTGCAGAGTCACCAATGTTTTAATTTGTAATTCAAAAAACAATAATGGTAAACAAGAATCCTCAAAATATCCATCCATGTGAACTTACTTCATCGAAATCAGCTGCAGAACCAATTGGAGTTGACAATGCTTCTTGGATCTGTTTCATATTCTCGGTTTGTTCATTGATTTCATCCATGGTCTTGTCCACGTCATCAATATTTCTGTAATCAAGAAAACCGTTACAGAGATGTACTTCACCTTATTAACCAAACAATCTCGGCGGATACATAAAGCTATGGTAAAAAAATTTCTGCATACGTTGCTTTTTGCATCGCCTTCATTGCAGCTGCTCCGGTTCTCAATGCATCTACAGTTTCAGTAGTGGCTTTTGCACCCTCTAACATTATCATCTGTCACATAAGATTTAACAAAGCCATAATTAGAGCTTGCCCATACAGCAAAATAGCATACACTGTAAAAATAGGTCACCTGATCATGAATCCTCAATTGGAAATTCCCCAGCTGTTCTACTTGCTGTTCATACAACTTCTTCCTTTTCAAGCACTGGAGGGCAGCTGCAGTAAGCAGTACTCATCAGCAAGCAAGCACACCCCTCAAGTCTATACAAAGTTTTAGGTATCCATCGAACAAGCAAATACACATCACTATAGTGAGAACATCCATGAAAAGAAAACAATGACTCTTTCTTTTCCTACCCAAACTCACGGGTTGAACACCATACAAATTGCGCAATGGACAACTTAATGCTGGTCTGTTGTATGACAAACATAGTAAACAAGCCAAAAGAAATTGCATCACCAAGTCATCTCTATTAATAGAAGCACTACAATGCATGATACTATCATACCCCTTTTGTTTCCTCCTCGTGCAAATTCTCTGGCCTTTTCAACTTCTTGAGAAGCTTTTTTGAGAAGCACTTTCTCCTTTTTCTCGAGCATTTCAAGTGTCTACACAATTACGAGGTAATAGTGAGACCAAATAGCGAGAAACCCCAGAACAAGCATGAACTAACAAAACAGAAGCCAAACTCACACAATGAAAGGGTGAAAATTGTAAAACAAAAATTATACAAGTTCTGAAACTAAAGGAGACAGAAGACAATTGGACTCTAGCAGACATCATTTCAGGTTGCTCCCATCACATCGCAGAGCTACATAATATAGTTTTAGCCAACATCCGCGAGAACCCCACACCTGCCAATACAATTGAACCATTCCTAACACATCCTATCGCTTATCCAGAGAAAAATAAATTAGATTCATAACCACAAGCTCTGTTACCCACAATCGAGCAATAACCCAGAAGATAGTAGCACGGGAGCATTCAAAGCAAAAAGAAGCAGCTCTTCAAGGCAACGAATAAAGGCCACCACTGAATCCTTATCCCACACGAACACAACACGCAGCAAAGACGAAAGCACCTGAACGAGAAAGATGAGATAGAAAGCATGAATCTTTACCTCATTCAGTTTATCCAAGGTGGCCAGGGCATTGCCTTCCTGCTTAGGCTTGCCAAATATCCTGGTAAACATTTTTCAACTATATCGAAGTAAATCCCTCCTGCCCTGATCTGCCAAATCAAGCCCAAAAATCAAGAACCCGCGATTGATCAAAACCCTAATTCTGAAAATCCGCAATCATCCCAAGCATAGAACGATTCTGATCGATCGAAAATAAAAAAAACCCACAACACGAAGGGAAAGACCGAGCAGAAAAAGATGAGCGAAGATCGTAATTCGCAAACCTGCAAAATCGTAGTGTAAGAACCGAAAAATTGATGGATCGGGCAGGGTTGAGGGATGGGGGAAATTAGGGTTTTCGATTGAGCAGATATTGATTTTAGAGAAGCCGGGAAGGGATGGATTGCTTAAGCGCGTCCCTGTTGGGGATGGACCGCAGAAAGAAATGAGAAGGAAGCTGCTTTTCGTTTCCTGCCCCAATTCCACCACAAGCCGTTTGAAGTTGTTTCACGGGGTTACGCGTGGCTGATACTCATTCGCTAGACTATATTGAGTGCTACTAATGGCAATGAGACGAGACGGGGCTCTCAATACTCATGTCTCACTCTAGCCCCACGCTACTATGGATCGGGGTAATACCCATGCGGATATGGATAGGGGTGGTCGATCCACACGTCATGTTATGCGAAAAATATACATAAAATTTTACCTTTTATGATAAAACGAAGGAAAAAAACACTTTATTAATGAAAAATAGTGATAATAGAACAAGTAATTAAGTCCAAATAGTTGAAAGGTCGAGTATATTTAGGGCTGCAAATGAGTCGAGCTGCTCGCGAGCGGCTTGACGCTCGACTCGGGAAAAACTCGTTTGAAACTCTGCTCGTTTACTAATTAGTTGAGCTTGAGCTTAGCCTTCTGCAGCTCGTGGAGCTCGCGAGCTAGCTCGACTCGGTGACTTGTTGAGCTCAGCTCGTGAGTTGACTCTTTTAGTGCTCATGAGATGTCTCAACTCTCAACATTGTGGCTAGAGCCAACTCGATTACCTATTATGAGCGAATTGATCTATATGAATTTGATTTTAATAATTTATAGGATTGTTAAATTATATATCTCGCCTATATGAAGTTTAACACGCAGATTATGTGAGCAAATATGTCTTATTTAATTTTGAAAATAAATAATATATCATAGATTGCTTCGATACTATGAAATAACATAATTTCACTAGTTAAAATTTATCAACTAAATAGTTTGATACCACAAAGTATAAAATGAGATTAGTCCATATTGAACTCTTAACTTTTATTATTATTATTATTATTATTTTAATCTTGACATTAATCACATGTATCATGAATGACATACAAAATGAATATATCAAATACGAGTCAAGATTTTATTAAGCTAGCTCGAAACATGCCGAGTTCGAGCGCAACTCGTTTATTAATGAGTCGAGCTCAAACTGGGGTAAAACTCGACTCGACTCATGTGCAGCACTAAGTATAACTAGTTGATAAAAAGTCAAAATATGATAAATATGAATAGATACTGTAAGAAATTGAGTAAAATTGGCCGAGAACGGGACATAGCGGGGTAGAAGGGGTCGAAAGTGAATACCCATGTCCCGCCTCATTCTACTGTAGATCGGGTAATAATTGTCCCGTCATGGATCAGGATGGGTAATACACTAGGGGCGAGTTCAAATTGCCATCACTATTGAGTATCGTTTTTATCCCCCTGATCACTTTGTTGCACTGCCGATTAACTTCAAACCGTGTCGTTTGTGGCTGATACCACGGCAGTCGGTAGGCCTTCCCTTGTTCCCTTCCCAATAATTTAGGGTGCTCTCCTCAGGGTGAGATTGGAGGTCACATCCTACTAATTGATTTGGAGGTTTGGAATTGGTTGATTTTGAGAAGGGCTTAGGTAAGAAAAGAGGAGAGGAGCCAAGTACCTGATCACTGGGCGGATTCCGCAATTTAATTGACATTTAATGTCCACTCATATTTCTTTTTCATTTTTTAATATTTCTTTCTCTCTCTTGGTTTCAGAGATGAGAATACTAGTTCGACACTTTCAAATATTTGTTCGACGCCTATTAATGTGTGTTTATTTGTGTAATATTTGTTGGTGTCAAAGATGAGAATACTAGTTCGACACTTTTGAATATTTGTTTGACACCTTTGAATACGTGTTCGTCGTTTTTTAATACTCATTTGATGCCTATAAAAACGTATCATAGGCGTCGACTGAGTATTCAAAAGCGACAAAGAAGTATTCAAAGGCCTCAAATGAGGACTTTCAACACAATGTAATGGGTGAGTGTAGGTCCATTTATCCTTCATCCACTAAGTAGTGAGTGATTTAAAATTCAGTAAAATCCGCTTAAAACTACTCACTGTTGATCCCTGAGAAAATAAAAAACGATCTCTTTCCTTTGCTATCGAGGTTATGTCACTACAACAAATTTGGCCTATTATGAAGCGTTCGTTTGGTCATATTAGCTACCTATTTTGTCATATTTGACCTTATATGACAAATGCTTTTGTCACAAGGATTTGTCATTTTATCGCCGTCAAGATAGGTCAAGACTTCTGTGTAATATGACAAAGTGACAATTTGTCATGGACTTTACATAATATGAAAACTTTCCAGTGTTGTCACATTTGCCCTGCTTTACAAAATCCATAATGCGATAGTGCATTCTGCCTTGCAACCTGATCATGGAAATATTTCCAACCATCCAAAACAGTACATCCATTTCCATCCCCATAACAGCCTACCTCCTTGTTCAACATAAACAAACATTCTAAGTTCCACCATGACACAACACATGAAACTCCTTGTTCACCGGTACACAAACCACGGTAACTTTGTTCACAAAAGCAGAAACTAACATACTTCTAACACCAACAAATAGCTTGAAGTCTCATCTAGGTCTGCAAACCGAGGCAGTGTTGTTACCTTGGACTTGGCAGTTATTTTACGGGGTAGTTGGCGAGCAATCACTAGCACTTGATGCTGTAAGTTTTCCTCGGCAGCTTTCATTTGGTTCATCACCTCTTCTTGAGTCTCAAACCTCTCCTCCTGGCTCTGTAACTTTTCTTCCTGGAGTTGTATCTTCTCGGCCTGGCTTTTTAGTTGCTCTTCTTGACTTTGTATCTTCTCCTCAAACTCCTTAGCCTTTCTCTCTGCTTCAGCTCTTGCTGCCTCCAATTCCGCTTGGAGTTGTTGGTCCTTTGCTGATCTTGGGTTCTCCTTGGGTCCATACTTCAGCTTCTTCTTCAGGACCGTCTGAACAATCTCGCAGCCTGATACAGGCTTCCCCTCTTCCTTTGCTTCTATCCAAAGGGACTGCATCTCCAGCTGCACATTGAACAAAAAGTGTTAATGAAACAGGTGACACGGTTGGCTATGAACTTCTGATAATGAAACAATGCAAGTGATATGGTCGGACTCACATAGTTTTTCATAGGTTCCTCCGATACCCAACTACCGTCAGCCTTATGATACCTCTTTGCATACAGAAGCAGATCTAGTGGCTCCGCCTCTACGGTCTCACCGTCCTCCATTTTTGTTGGCTGCTCCTTTCCAATAGGCTGCTCCTGCTTCTTCTTCTTCTTCTTCTTCTTCTCCTACACAAAGCAGTTACATTGAGGCAGATTTTAATCACATAACTATACCAATTCATATATTCTTTGATCAAGAGATTTTGCACCAGAAGTGTGTGCATACACTTGCTTACTCTTGTTGACTTTATTAATTCATTTCGCTTCTGCATACGAAAAAATTAATTAATAAGCAACCTTTGATTGTAAGACAAGGTAACAAAGGAAATTGATGATGAAATAGTTGGAGTTACTCACTCGAAACTTTTCACTCTCAAAGTGATCACACAGCAGATGCCAGTCCTCTATATTCATGTCAATCGGAGGGTCTGTCCTGGCTTTCTCAGGGTCTTTCAAGTAGTGAGCATGCATCGCATACTTGTAATTAATGAACCGCTTCTTCATTCTCTTATCCATAATCTTCCTTGCTTCTTCACCTCATGTGTCTATGTCAAATTCATCCTACATGAAAAAACAATTATATAGTTCATATACGAACATATTATAACACATTTCTAGCCAAATCCTTTCGCATCAATCCCGTTGTTTGTCAAGTTAATCTAAAAAGATATACTATACTTATCTAAAAAGAATTACAAATAGCTTCACATCAAACTAGCAGTACTGGGAAATTACCTCTAGCTTCTTGAATAACGGGTGCTTGTCTGCTTCAGTCAACTTGGACCAGTAGTACTTCCTTATCGGGGCCATCAGGCGTGTTATGACGCCCAACTCTCTCTTCAGCAAGCTCTCATTTGGCACTACGAATGACTGCCCATTTTCCATTACGTAAATTCCATCTATCTTTCCTCCATTTCCGGTTCTCTTCATTATCTCATACCCTTTGGACAGTCCCCTCTTTTTAGTCGCAGGGGGTGGTTCTAATCCAGTTGGATTACTACCTTCTCCGTTGTCATGATTGGATGCTTCTGCCTCCGAATCGTCATTGCCATTGGGTTCCTCTGGATGCACAGTGTCGGTGTGCTGACTGTCCTCGTTCAATGTGGTTCCAGTTTGACGTCCACTCCTCCCGCTTACAGATTCGGTGGACCGAGCAGGTTCCGGACGCACCCTCCCTGATCTGGTCGCCCAATAAAACTCTGGGATAGGTACACCCTTATCAGCATCAGCCTTCTTCTTCTTGAGTTGCGGCATACCTACACCAGTAAGTTTGTCATAATGGTCAAAAACTCTATCGAATGATCTCAAGATAGGTCAAATGCCCAAACAGAAAAGTCGGCAGATTCTTATTGAATTAATTGAAAGCAGTGTCTAAATCCAGCAAGATAAAGAATGATAAGAAGCAATTAGTAGGCTGAGAAGCAGCTCAACTTATGTGCTTTGCAATTTCAGCAATCGAAATATGTACTCCATCACAAAATGTAAGTTGAATAGAGAGGATGTAAATTGACAGTTAAGCAGAACAAAGTTCTGGGATTTCAAGTAATCATATCATTCATGAAAACCTTTATAGAGGTGATAACTATTACATTGAAGATAAATGTGGCTATGCTAAATGGTGAGTGCGAGCAGAGAAGCCATGGCAAATTGATTAACACATAAGAAATTAGTAGAATCCAATTGACAACACAGAAGCAACCCTAAATTATGTTTAATACAATAGGCATAAGGGGAAACGAATATTCAATCAAATGAGAGGACATGGAATGAGAGATTTCAAGTTTTCAACTCAAAAAGGAAATGAAAACAGAGGACAGTAGGGTGTCACAGAAAAATCAGTATGGAAATCCAACAAGAGAAGCCATAACAATGATCAAGTCTTCGGCAGTATGGTTGTAGGAACATGAAACACTTTGACAACAAGCAATATCAGAGTCTTCAAGGATTGCATGTGAAACAATTACAAAGCAGAGGTGGCAAAAAACGAAGAAGGGGCAACATAAACTTCAAACGAGGCACAAATCGGAAAAGCATCTACGAAACCCTAGAATTAAATGAAGCAGAGTATCTAATTAACCATTGCATATCATATACATCAAATGAAAGGAATCGCGAATAGAGGGCACGAATCGCGCATCGAGGGCACAAATCTCCAGAGCATGTATGAAAGGAATCACGATTCGAAAAATAAAGCCTACTTGTGAAACGGGTCCCCAAACTTGAGCGATGAGCAGTTTGGTGTCGTGAACTTGCGCGATGAGCAGATTACGGGGAAGAATCGTCAGAGAGAAATCGCGAATGGAGAGGTAGCGAGAGAGAAAGGTTTGAAGGAGAGGGTTTTAGGGTTTGCCTTTGCCAGAGACGAAGGACTAAGGCCCTTGTCTTTGTTTTGCTGTTTTAAAATAGGCCCTTCCGGAACTTAAATCAGTTGTGGGTTGTGATCCACGAAATCATGTGGGCTCATAGCCACACACATTCATTTCAATTCACTAACAAAACTCAGAGAAAGCCCTACACAAAAGCTACCAAACTACACCAGAAACCCAATCCATCCTCAAAATTAATTTCGAAGACACAATCTGCGTTTATGCATCGCCTGGGTTCATATTAGTTCCCCCAGAAACGAAAAAATAAACCCCATTGACAGACTCCATTCACCTCGAGTAAACATTCATATAGATTCAAACTTATTATTCTAATATACCCAAAAATCACCAAAAATGAATCTAAGGCCCGCAAAAATCTGTACACATATATTTACCAAATAAATCTGCAAACAAACACAGCTCGTAACCAATAATCTGCTACTGTGTGAAAACCACTATACTTAGCTTCTACTGTTATCCTTCTTCTTCCTGGTCACTGAATGATGGATCATACCCATCTTGCTGTTCAACATCATTACTGTTCAAATGATGGTCATCCAATGTGTCGTCGTCGATGTCATCATCGCTTGCTTCTACTGATGCTGATCTTCTATCAAATGATCGTATCACTGTCTCAGTAACAATTGTTGGTGCCTCGTCATCACGACTCAGATCCGGTAACTCACTTTCACTAACATGAAAGTCCGAAAGATCCACATCCTGTTGGTATGGCTGATTTTCAGACAATGGATCCCCATTTATTGCTGCCTCCTTCTCGGGAACATTGTACAAACTTCTGGGACATACCTTGTGGACAATATGCCATGAACCACCATTCTTAATGTCGGCAATGTAAAACACCTAGTTAGCCTGACTGGCCAATACATATGGGTCCTCCGCACCCCATTTTCGATCCATGTTTATGCTCATCAAGTGTCCATCCATCCTTATTCCATTCTTCTTGTCACCCACATTGAACCACTTGCACTTGAATATAAAGACCCGATTCCCTCTAGAATATTGCAGCTTAATTATCTCGATCAGAACCCCGTAATACTCAATAGTCTCGCCATTGTGCTCGCCCCTAACCATGACACCACTATTCTAAGTTCGATGACCTTCATCAGACATATTTATTTGGTATCGAACCCCGTTAATGATGAGTCCAGGATATCTAGTAATCCTTTCATCTGCCCCTAATCCTAGGACATATAAATGGTCAGTCTCTTTAAGCATGCCAGCCAAAAACTTTTTGGAGACCTAAAACAAAATGAAAGGGGCCAAAAATTTAAGAAAATGATGTTGTGATTAAGACAAAGAAAAAGAATGGAAAAGGTTGGCGCTTACAAATGTTTTAAACCAAGATGGGAAGTGAGTTGCAATGGTTGCTGGGGTACTATTTGGATAACTCAAGAATCTCTCCTCCATATACACACTGTAATGGCACTTATTAAGCACAAAAAAAGAAGAAAAAACTAACTGGGGTTTAGAAACAAAACAGAAATCTGAACACAAAGAAGAAGAAGAAAAAAACTTACTTCAATTGTTCTTCAATTTCATCACAATTAGTGAAGACATACCATTGGATCTTATGGAACTTAGCCTGACCTATAGGCTCATAGTTAGCAGCTCCTATAGATCTACCTTGGTGACGGAAAACATCAAACCCATTATAATTTACATCGTCCAACCCATCATCATTCCTATCTAGCCTACTTGATCGAGTCTCAACACCTTTAATATATCTAGAACAAAAAATTTGAACACTCTTTCGCTATATACCTTTCGGCAATGGATCCCTCGGCACGAGCCTTATTAGAAACATATGATTTAAGAGTTCCTAAGAACCTAGTAAAATTACAAAAAAAGAATTCATAATACAAAAGTTAGCTACGTTATATAAAGGATCCGAAGCAGTTAAAAATTTAATGGGTTCGACTCGGTGTGTACCTCTCCATTGGGTACATCCAGCAGTACTGCACTGGTCCCTCAAGCTCAATTTCGCGGGGAAGGTGAATAGGCAGATGCATTATCACGACGAAGATAGCTGGTGGATACAACATTTCCAAGTTACAAAGTATAACTGGGATGTTATCCGCGAGTTTTCTGATAGTAGAAATGGTTATCGTTCTTGAACACAACTCACGAAAGAACTCACTAAGTTGAGACAATATATTATAGACTTCTTTGCTCAGGAATCCTTGTGCGGCAGCAGGCATTAGTCGTTGGATGAAGACCTGGTGATCATGGCTTTTCATTCCAGTGACTGACCTACCATCGGTACTCACACACCAGGATATATTAGATGCATAAGCATCTGGGAACTTTATCGACCTCAACCAGTCACAAAACGACCTTCGTTGTGCGGTTTTTAAGGTGTATAAAGCAGGAGGCATTTTATACTTATCACCATCTCTCACCAAATGTAGCTCTTTCCTAATACGCATGTCTTCCAAATCATGTCTAGCATTGGCTGTATCTTTGGTCTTTCCCTCGATATTTAGCAGCGTAGCTATCACATTCTCACTAATGTATTTTTCAACATGCATTACATCTAAGTTATGCCTCAACTCTATAGTTTTCCAATATGGCAAACTCCAAAATGAAGCTTTTATTTTCCAGTTATGCACATTATCATCAGAACAACCCCTTTTCCTTTTCCCACCCTCATTGACTACCACATCAGATTGAAAAGCCTTCTCAATTTGCTGCAAAAGTTCATCTCCAGGTAACACTCTTGGTTTGCCTCTAAGTTCATGCTTCCCATCAAATTTACGGTTTTTTCTCCACCTATGGTCACTTGGCAGCCATCTTCGATGCCCCATGTAACACTCTTTATGACTGGCATGTAAATGTTCGGAGCATGTCCTAATATTACAGACAGGACAGGCTAATCTCCCCTTTGTACCCCTGCACGATAGCATGCCATATGCTGCGAAATCATTTATTGTCCATAACAATGCAACATGTAAACGAAATGTTTCGTTTGAGTGTGCGTCATACGTACTGACCCCATCCTCCCATAACTCTCTCAACATTTCTATTAGGGGCTCTAAGTACATATGTATGTTATTACCAGGCGATTTCTCTCCAGGTATAAGGACAGTGAGAATAAATAAAGGTTCGGTCATACATTTCCAAGGCGGGAGATTGTATGGTGTTACCACGACAGGCCACATGCTATAACTATTGCTCATGTTACCAAAAGGGTTGAACCCATCACTCAAAAGAGCAAGCCTAACATTCCTAGGGTCTGCAGCGAACCAATTATGATCCCCATCGAACCGTTTCCAAGTTTTTGCATCAGCCGGATGCCTTAGCGTATCATCATCAACACGCAATTCCTTGTGCCACCGCATGTCTTTAGCATCTTCCTTAGTCATGAACAATCTTTGAAGCCTATCTCTTAGGGGGAAATACCTAGCTTTCCTTTGGGCTACATTATTTTGTTTCCCAGGTATGTATCTGGGCTCATTGCATTTTGGGCATGTAATGGCAGATTCTAGAGGACTTCTATAGAGTAGACAATGATTTGGGCAGGCATCTATGGTGGTGTAACTGAACCCAAGATCTCCCATGTACCGCTTAACTTCATAGAATGAAGAAGGAAGCGTCTCGCCAATAGGTAATGCTTTCTTGACTAGGTCCAGATTCAGGTTGAAGGATTTGTTAGTACTGTTGGTTACCAGCTTATTGTTCAGCAGCTTCATAACGAATGATAATCTAGAAAAGTCTTTGCATCCAGGGTATAATGGCAAATTGGCATCACGGGTTAGCCGAGCCAATTTGTCATTGAGGTCTGTTAGATTAGAATAATTTGGTGTTGTTGACCCCTCAATGACAGGAGCATTTCCAGAAGTAGCACGCAGCATATTCCATAACATATCA